TCCGATCAGGGCTGGCTCCACAGGGGTGGAGCCGCTGGCCGCCCTGGGCCGCTGCCTGTCTGTGACTCAGCCACCCCTGCGGAAAGCAGAAGTGTCCCTCTGCCCCCCTGGCTGCCATCACCCTTTCCAGTGAGGTCATGCCCCTGGCTCCCAGGGACTGCATGTCCCCTGTGCCACTGTCCTACCGGGTCTCTGTGGTGGCACCTGGGGGTCAGGGGGCTGGGACCCCCTTTTTGGGCATTATGGTGGGAGCGCGATGTTCCCGAGAACAATCCCAGCGTGTTCCCAAACTAATCCTGAGCTGCCCACAGGATTAAACCCCAAAAGCTGCTTAGCACTGGGAACAGCAATGCCATCCTGCTCCAGCACCCCAGCACCCACCGAGGTGGTAGCCCAGCACCATGTCTCCCCGGAGGAGGGTCCCATCCGGAATTTGGGGGGGGTTTTGAATGCTGGCGGCGGCTTGGCGGGCGCCCGGGGAGAGCGGCGTGGCAGGGCGGATAATCTGCTCGCTGGAATGTGGATGTGCTGGCTCTGGCCCCGGGAGCGGGGGATTAGGGAGCAGCCGGAGCAGGGTAGCACCGAATTTTGGGAAAAGGTGGGATGTAGGGCCTTGGTGAGGGCTTGAGAAGCCGCGGCTTTGGCAAATGCTGAGATCACGACTCCTCGAGCCTCACTGTGGCCACCGTGCTGGCACCCCAGCAGTGATGGTGACGAGGACGGTGATGCCACCCATGTGAGACGCAGTCATCCGTCACCACCCTCCTCGGTCCCCACCGTCACGTGGGGCCACCTCCCGCAGCAATAAACCCTCACGCCGGTGCCGGAGGGGTCAGCGCGGGGCCCAGGGAGCTGCCGAGGGGCAAGTGTGGGATGAAGTTGGGTTGGGCAGGGGAACTGTGGGGCTTTGGGGGGTCAGGCACTGCTGTGGCCCCCTGGGTCTGGCACCCTGCCCACACCCTGCGGGGTTGGGTGCTTGCCCGGGGTCCCGTTGCCCCGGCTCTGCTCCCCTCCCGGCGTTTGTCTTGGCCACAGCTCTCCCATTCCAACCAGTGGCCAAGACAAACCAGCCTGGAGCCAGCACGGCCCGAGGAGGGGCAGCCCTGGCCCCTGCCCACGGCACTGCCCTGGGGACACCCCCTGAGCCCCCTCTTTCCCCCCAGGTTATGCTGCCCCGACAGCGACCCCTGAGCCCCCGCGAGAAGGAGAAGGGCTAAGCTGACGGTGCCGGGGGCCGTGCCGGCACCATGACCCACTCCCAGGTGTCCTCCGAGCTCCACCACATCGTCTCCACAGCCTTCCAGAGCGTAAGTGCCACTGTGGCGGCGGGCACAGCCCCGCGGCTGGGGGGGCGGGGGGCTGCACCCCCTGATGCTGCCCGGAGGGGTGAGGGGTGGCACAGCACGGCCCCATCACTGGGCTGTGGGGTGCTGGAAGTGCCCCGTGGCACCGCCACATTGCTCAGGCGTGGGCAGGGCTGTGGGGTGCTGGCAGAGCAGCTCAGCCGTGGGGCAGGGCTGTGCCCCACAGCAGCCCCCCAGGGCAGGCCAGGCCAGCTGTGCCGGGGCGGTGAGTGCCCTTGGGGCTGGCGCGGTGCCGGTGCCGTTGGTGCCGCAGCTGTGGCGGTGCCCTCGGTGCCCACGGTGCC